AAAGTGTATGCTATCATCTATACAGGAATTGCACCGCAATACATAAGCACGACCGCCGTAGCGATGAAATAACAATAGAAATGACCGTTCGGAAGCCATGTATCGTAGCACGGCTGCATGCAAACTATCGTGCAACCGTAATTTTGCTAAGCGTATTTTGAAATAATTCAAATGGTATTCAGTAGACTCATATTCTTAGTCCAAGGGTTTTAGGGTTCGGAGTTTAGGGCGGCATCCAAATCTGAAGATAGAAGACATTCGATGATCTAACAGCAATTGTGATTACAGTTTTAGGTGATGAACTTCATAAATTAAACTTGATAACATGCGGCATGTGGACAAAATTCGACGGACTAGAGAATGGTGACCAATTCGGCGTCATCATAAGTTAGTATTCCAGGTGGCTCACGTTAGTGTTCATACTTGCGTTCAGACATGAATACTCGAGCTAACCAGCATGATCCTTCAGCATCAAATCTTCGTGTTCGGTGCCGATCATGTGAGCAGAAGCTTCCACCAGGACCTGGACATGCAAACCGCCGTCCCAAATACCAGAACCCGCCGATTAACGCTAGAAATATTCAGCACACACAGCCTCGTGGGGTAATTACACAACATACATTGTCAACTACGGGCACATTGGCACGGTCGACACATGCGCCAAATTATCAATTCGCCCTAGGGTAAATTTGGTGGACGATAACTTTATCTCAGATCAGCCACGAGAGTGAGGTCAGATGTATAATTATGACCAGGTCGATGAGTCATAGATTGAGAGCGATGATACGTTACTGGATGATGAGTAAGGACCAGCGAGATGGGAAGAAGATACCAGTTTGAATTGAGATGCTCGGTTTCTGTGTGACCTAAACGTATATATTGTGTTTGGTCGCGCAGCGTTACACAAAGTACATGACCTACAATCATTTTAGCTAAGCAATATAAAACAACCAGGGTGTGCTCTAGTTAACAACAGTCATTTAATTAAAGTAGTAGGATTGGTGCTTCGTTTTTACTTCGAAATTTCAGTTTTACGTTGGTAAAAGTAAATCTGATAAAAAGGAAAAAGCCATACAAGTATTGAGTTTGTTGTGCGAGTTGTCGAGTGATGTACCGATCTACTGCTGATGACAGAATTGGGAGGTGGTTTTTATATATAGAAATTGGGTTGCAATGACAAAAGTTCTAGCCTTTAAAGTGGTAATATATTGCAATATTAACAGAGATTATTGGTGAAATTAGCTGTGAACAATTCCTGTTCTGTATGATGTATCGTCAGGTGCATAGCTCAATTTAGATAAACTTTACAACTTGTATTTCCTACTGTCGAAGGGTTTGACTAGTCTAATCAAATTATGTTTCAGTAGATGGGGCAACTTGATGCAATTATAAACAGGCAAAATATATTATATCGTTGATTCGGATCTTCATGTGCATTTCGCGGATATTTTGGTTACCATGGCGGCTACAGCAGAATACCAATTATCATCCACATATTTACGGCAGGCCGACAAATTGTGGGGCCCACATACGGCGGATGGTTTTGCCTTACCGGGCAATCAAGTACTACCATTCTACTGTGTTCCTACTTTGGAACGTGGTGTATTTGCCCGATATTGGGGGGATCCAACCATCAACTGGTTTTTTAATCCCCCCTGGACATTGCTGGACGCAGTGCTGTGTAAAGTTCGATTGGACAAAACATGGTGCACTCTAGTGTGTCCTTACTGGCCGCATGCCTCTTGGTTTCAGGATTTGTTGGAGCTCTTTGCAGATGATCCCATTCTGGTTGCGCGCACAGCAGGTGTTTTTAATCGCCATGACTATGCGGTGGCTGGGTCGCCATCCTTTGTCACACTTATCTGTCGACTAGGTCCTCGAAATTTTCGAGTGCAGTCGGCTACTTGGACCAAGTGTGATGCTATGATGCAAGATGTGGTGCCACTTCAGCAACGTCCATCATTATCTTTGATGGTTAAGCCGCAGGCTATTCCTAAGGCACACAAGGCCGTTCGACCAGGGAAATCTCCTAGGGTCACCATATTGAGGAGATGGGTTCATAGATAATTGCTGTACATTTTTTCCAGTAGTGCTATATATTGTGAGACTGGTGGTTGCCGGTTCTCTTATTAGGGTTCTTAGTGCGAGATTCAATTCAGGTAACTTTACATGGTAGGTTTACTGCCGGATGTTTTATGATTTAATCAGTTTCATTTAGTAGCTTATTCATGATGCGAGTTATAACGCGGCCTGATTTCAGAATTCTATCGCGGCGAGATATATGTAGTTGGAATATCTCTACGATCATACAAATGACTCAGTCCTCGTCAAGCCGAAATTACCAGATAATTCTTACAGCAGTAGTGCTGTGACACAAGTTACTACCGGTATTGCGAAGACAAGCTTACCGGAAAACATACTATAAGCAATCATGGATATCACAACTGAATTATCTGATTGTCTTTCTTTCATTGACATTACGAAAAGTTTGAGAATTATTGCGTACAGCTGTGTATCTTGATTCGAAAGTGTGGCATTGGTAGTCTGAAATCGCGACTTTGGCCTGAGTGAATATTTTGTACCAGCTTTGGTCTACAGAATGTACAGAAGAACTATGAGAAGAGGTGGGCGATCTCTATATATATATATATATATATATATATATATTTATATATACGTATATATATGCATGTACAAATATATATATATATATATATATATATATATATA